CCCCTGGACCTTTAATCTCTACTGATACACCTTTCAGCATCGTACTCATCCTGACGGTTAGCTATGTGATACACCTTGTGAGTAGTGCCACCTCTCCCAAGAGCTGCTGGCTTTTCCATGTTCTTTCCCCTCAGTCTCTTCTCAGGCATGAAAGCCAGACAAAATATTCCCTCCTCGGCAAGCAGAATAGCTTCTCATCTGTTTTCCTGGCAGCTGAATTTGACCTAGCTTGTAGTGTGCCCTCTAAGACAGCAGATAAGGACCAGCGGTGGTTGGCACGCGATACCCTCTGTGGCCCCTGGCAGCACCAACTCTGTCTCCCAGTTCCTGTGACTGATGTTCAGCCCTTTGTAGAAATTACCCAGTTTCAGCAATACTGTGGCAAACGGCCATGTTGTTGTAAAGCGAGCTCAGGCCGTGGTGGCTGAAGTTATGTGTCAGTGGAATGTTGTTTCCAGGCATTTTCGGTCATGCTAACGGCTTAGCAAAATACTGAGACCTGCTGAATTTAACACTAATAAAGGAGTGGTTTTCAGGAGCTAGGATGAGATACCAAAGCAGCTTGACATCCCAACTTCCTTTGTGTGTTCAGCACTAACCATCTCAGACCTTTCAACTAATTTCTAGTTATTCTGTTGGAAATTTTATGGTTTAGATACTAAAAGTTTCATTTATTTGCATATTTTTTTAAAATAAAATTTCTTCCTGCAACAAAGTTTCTTATAATTATTGAGAACCAGTAATACAATTTTTAGAATCCCTCAAGCCTTTGTTTCCTCTAGCATTAAATATCATACTTACTTTTGTTTTAATGACAGCAAAATCAGCAGAAATTTTATTTACTTTATTGTAAATGATTCTTAGACATAATACCCATATCTAAAGATATCTCTTCCCATTTTGATCATGTGTTTTGCTTAAGGAGAGAAAAGCCCTGACACCACTCGACTTACTTTCTAACAGAGTCTGAGTTTATAGCCAAAGGAAAAATCCACAGATTATCAGGAATACAGGGAAAAGCTCTTGATCAGAACATATAAGTAAATAAAGATTTTTTACAATCTTTACCTGCAGGAACACTTTGCTAAGACACGAGAGGTGGCTAAGGTATAGGAATTCATGCAACTACAGAATCCTGTCCTTCCTATCGTGTGTAGATTCTATTTTCTTAAGGTGATGAGACTTAGTAAATCTCAGATTCTAAGGCTCCGCCGTTTCTAGTGAAGAGTAAGTTCTGCATTCTTTTAAGATATTAAAAAAAACCCCAACTCTGCCCCCATATTCTAGTGAACAATTGTTCCTCCTTGGTTATAATTATGTATTGTTTATCTAGAATGTGGTTACATAAAATATAATTAGGACAATACTGACGAGATCGGATTAAAATAAAATTACTTCTGATGCACTGGGTGCAGCTGCTTGGTTACATGCCCACTCTACCCATTCATCTTGTACTCAAAGCATTTTCTGTCTCTCGTGATAGTACTACCAGCAGGGAAATACCCAGACAACTAAAATGGTGCCATAGTTCACACCTCTGCTGGGTTGAGTGCTAAACTAAATACTGTCACCAATTCCATTTTCATCATTCATTTTACAATTATGTTTGGGTTGGGTTGAGTTTTTCTTAAGCATCACCTTTTAGGATTGTGGGATTCTCAGTTTTCCTTTAATTAAAATGAAGAGATTTTTCAGCAACTAACATTCCAGGTATAGGCTGGAAAATCTGAAACCTCAAGACTCAAAAAAGAAAAACCAAACCAACCCATGGAGTGAGAAAAAAAGGCTTAGGATTAAAGTCCTTATCATGTATTTTGTTTGACTTGTGTGAACCTGTGAAATTGGCTTCACTGAGCACTCTGTACTAGCAATTCAAGATGATATATATCAGTTAGAAGTAATTTTTGGAATCTGAAGGGCTGGCAATTTAAAAGCTAGTGCTGCAAACAAGCCACAACATCCATAAAGTAAAAAAAAAAACAAAAAAACCAAAAAAACCCAAAAAAAACCCAAAACAAAAGGCACCGGAAACTTTTTTAAAATGTTTGAACAATATGATCATGCCTGAAAATTTGCAAAGTCTACATGCAAGATTTTTGCACCACTGTAATCTAATCATGTGCTATCCTTGGATTTTTTATACCAGAACAAGTCATTCCTCTGTGCTGTGTTAGAAGCCGAGCTTTCAGCAAGCTATAGTGTGGTTTAGTTTTACTAGTGCAATGCTTCAACCCTAGGGCTGGCATCCTAATGAGGACAAGAGCTGTGCTTTCATACAAAGACGACTAGTTCCCCCTCCAGTCTGTTTAAAATATTGTTCACTGCTTCGAGCACGCTATAGCTCCAGACCCTACTTTTCCTCACAGAAACTAATACAAATGATACAAATCTGAGTCAGTATGCTCAGCGTTTTGTGACTTGTTTCCACATCACAGTAACTACTCTTGATTATTTACAGGAATCACCATCTTTCACTTTCCTAGCACTCCTTGTCCTCAGCCTGCCATTTGCCCTTGTGCTTTGGAAAACTGCTAACAAAAAACCACAGTGAGCTTCCCTGCATCTGCCCCATGTCATTCCTCAGAGCTTGGCTCTGCCGTGGGGTACACCTGGCCTGTGACTGCTTACAGTAGGCTGCCAACAACAAGCCATAAATCATTTCTTATATGTGCAACATAGCAGTCTCATTGCACCTCAAAGCACTTGTCTTCTCAGTCTGCTTGCTCCACCATCGGTATTAGTGATTTTAAAGGACCTTAGTTACAATGTGTATACCATTGAGACCCCAAGCGTATCACCTTAGCTGAGAATGCCCAGGAGCAGTAGCAGATTAGAGTGTTTCTAACTGACAGAAGTTATTCGGTATTGCAGCTCTCTCACCGCAAGGTAGAGCTAGACAAGAACTGTAAGAAAATAGATTCATCAGAATGAAAAGTGTTCCCAGGAATACTTTCACAGGCTCTGCTCACAGGATAAGCTCCTCAGCCTCAGGGTGGCAGATCCTAGCAAGACTGATGTCACGAATCGTGTGATTATGACACATACCTGAAATGCAAGAGCTCTTGTGGGATGGGAACTGAAGGGTGGCCACCATGCAACAAGAAAACCTTCCAGCTACATTTTCGCAGGACACAGGGAAAAAATTTTACGAAACAAAATCTTCTGTTTTGTTTTTCAGGCGAAAACTCCCCCCATTTCTGTACTAAAGCATTAAAACTGGGGGGAGAAAATTTAAGCCATGGAAGAGGAGAAAAGCCACCTTTTCTACAGAGAGAACAACAACATATCAAGGATTTGTCATACCAAGGGACCATCCACATTGCCTCAGATTCTTAGTGTCTTCTTTTTCTCGACAGCTCTGCTACTCATTCCTGCCAGCATGTTACTGACAGAACTGAGTGCATAATCCTGGGAATTTAGATGCAAAAAAATAAGATGATCAGTGCCCCTGAGTTTATGTGAAGGGACAGACCATCTTCACCATACAACAGAGCAGTTAAGTCACAAGGAAAACAAGATTATTATCTGTTACTCCTATTTCAGCCTGGGCAGAGCTAGATTACAGCAAGTCCTGACAACCCTCCTTGTTTAAGTGCAGGTTGTTGCTTTAATTAAAAACTAGGCTAGGGAAA